TCGAAAAGCTGACCAATGAAAAGTAACTTTTACTTCTTGTGACGGTTGTGCACATTGCGATGAAACGTCGTGTGTGGGTCGCATGTTGTTGGTAGTGGGTGTTGTACTTGTGGTGGTGGGTGGAGGTAGTTGTGTGGATATGCGTAACGAGTGTCGATATTAGTATGGTGGCTGCAATACTCTTTTGAACCACTCCGATACACACGCTCATACAATCTAGCGATCATAGTCACAACTACAGCCAAAATGACACTAACATCGACACCATTAATAAAATGAGACTAGGAGTTTCAGAGAGTGAGGAATCCGAATCAAAACTTGCTTTGTGACAATGTTGAGACTTTATTTTTCTGGTTAGAAAAAGGCTTTTTGGAAAAAAAAACAAAGATCTTGTCATAAAGTTTGTATAAAGGTCTTCAAGATGAGGCACTCAAATCTAAAGTGAATTCGTTTTGGTACCCTATTGTAGGGCAAGCATACGATGTGTTTTGAGAGTATTGCTACAAACTCAATCAAATACCAGAGAGAAAAGTGTAGGAGAGATAGGAATTATAGAAATATAGGAGACGTAGGAGACGCAATATGTGTAGAGGATACAGGAGGTGTAGAGGACACAGTAGATATAGGGATTTAGGACATACAAGAGATGTAGAAGCTATAAGAGATATCCGAGATATAGGAGACATATGAGATATAGGAATTATAGGAGATATAGCAGGTACTATGGGTCATATATTAAAGACGACCAGTACAGAGAAAAACTTTCAGAAGAAGTCGATTCACTCAAACATAGTACTTCTTTTTCGTCAAATAAAAATTTTGAAAACTTCATCGAAAATACAAATAAACATACGCAGATCAACAAAAGAAGACAAAATGCGCATTCAATAAATACTAAACAAAAATCTAAGCCATTGAAGGATTTTTCTTCAAATTTGTTGCATTTTTAAGAGCAGAAAATATTACAAATATACAAAAAAAAAACAATAGGCAAACCTCAATGTGGTGGAACGATTCCCTCGTTTCTGTTTTATTTTAAGAATGAATATGAATAAGGGCCATACGAGTAACGAAAAAGTAAACTTGAGGAAAAAAAGACAGAAAAAAAACATGCACACATATGTCTGAAAAGAAACGAAAAAGATAATTGATGAATCCATACATATGCATATACATTGCAAGTGTCCTTGAACATAACTATGATGAGTAGCGACGGTTAGAATCCATCACACGTCTCTCCGTCATGATGTGAGTGCATTTGCATAAGCGCAGATAGAGAACACAATCGAAAAGACGAAGAAATAATGTAGAAAATGACAACGGGGAAAAAAACTAATCCGAGTACGATAATAAGAAGAAAATTACGAACAACGCACAAACATAGATCAATGTAAAAATAAAAAGTGAACTGTTGTATGTTTGATTACATATTCATGATGAGAAATCATAACAACATTATATAAGCGTAGCGATAAACCAAAAACTAGAAGAGAGAAAAATACGAACATGCGAGAGTATTAATGCTAACAGTTGTGATGGGAACAGATACGAAGAGGAGAGGAGGAGACAGAAAAATTTTGACTAATGTCCTTTCCTGTGAAAAATAAATTCGATCATGATAATTAGATTATTTCAGTATTGAAAACAGGCGTCAAATCGGTTGATAATAAATCGCGTTTCAACTAGGAAACGATCGCCTGTTATGGCATCAATGAATCAATTGTGTAGGGGAGTGTTAGAGGTGGATTAGACGGGTATTTGACTGTGTGTTGGTGATTGATATGATAATGTCTTCTGGAGATGGAGTTATTAGATGGAATGATACTAGGAACATTGGCGACTGGCTACACAGTGTAATATATAGGCGTTGTCGATGAGATTTCATATAAAGTTGCTTGAATCGAGAAGGTTGTTAGTTGGGTGATGAAGAATGAGCAATCACTGGGCACATAGGAGCATGAAAAGACATCAGAAGAATGGGAGCAGAAGAAGCGCTACGAGATGGAGTTCCGCTGATATCAAGTTGTAAAGACATAAGTGATCGTTGGGATGTTGCTTCATGAGAGGCTTGTCGATCAGATATTTCATTCAACTTTTGTAGGGAGCTATCGGTGAAGAGTGTGATACTGATATATTGGGGGTGGTATCTTCTTTAGGATTGAATGCAATTGATGGAAGAGGTGATAGATATGAACAGTTGAGTAGAACAGCAGTTAAGATCGAAGATAGGGTCCATGCCAATTGAGGTAATCGAGCAGTTTGGACTTGAAATGAGGTAGATTCATTCAATTATAGAAAAGTTTCACACAACAATTCGTAAGTGGATGAGCAGAGGCAGACAAGGAACCAGGTGAGACGCATAATATAATCAGAGTCAATATTATTACGCTGGCGAAAGGCTAAGGATGGAGTAGAATAGAAGAGGATGGTATTGATGGCCAGAGCCACCTGAAGTTGCGATTAAAATGAAAAGTGATCTTGAAGCTACTCACGGACTACCATAAGAGTATTATCGATGGGAAGAAAGGAAAGAAAATTAGATCTCTGCAAAATTTTAAGAATATCCCATATTGACGCAAATATGGAATCGTGTTGTTGAACGTAAACGAGCGCCATTTTCTGGGAGGAAAGATGATTATGTGTTAGAATTATGTATGTATATAGATCTTATCTTTCTTTTGAAGAAGCTTAGGATAGCAAGTAGTATTTAGATGACACTCACATATCTTGAAAAAGGGGCATAACCACACGCAGATCTTGCAACACGACTCGTGACTAGCATCGACGGATATAACAGGTGGTAGTTATGGTGGCATTAATTAACACAGAACCAAATAGAAGAATACTAACTAACAATATGTACATAGGATGTAAGAGAGAGTGTGGAATCGGAAGGTCTTTATTCAATAAATCGCATGATTTCCTTTAATTCTCGTTCGATAAGTTTAGCCGTAGACCAGGTGTTATTGCTCGTAATATGACGATGTACATTAAAGATCGATATATTGTTGAGAAATAGGGTATTGTTGCATAAAATGATTATGGATGGAGCAGATTGAGCAGTGGGACGACCTGTGAGTGGGAGACCAAGACAAGCGATAGTCGAATCACGGGATAACATTAACAAGAGCAACTAGTGGGAAAATGATCGGCTTGCTAAGCCTCTATATGTGATAGGAGAGTGCGCTGAGGTCTGTTTTTTTAATTGTAACATCGTGCAGTGATTGATGAGACGGCATGACTCAGAGATTGTCACGGAGTTGATGCAAAAACAAAGGAGCAAGAGAAATCGGTACCATACGACATTGAATAGGATTAGTCCGTTCAAAATTTGTCCAAGATAAGAATTATTTGATATGAAGCGGAATGATGAAGTATCTTGACAAGTTGTCATCTATCGAACGCCATATCTACGATCGTCCTGATCGTATTATTCGATAGTGATATAATTCGACGAATCGATAACGAAGTATCGAGGGGTCTGAGCTAAGCGGAAAGTTTCGTTCTCGTGAAGAAAGGGATTAGTGATTAATTTGTAAAGAAGGAAAACAGGTGAGTAGAGTTGGGGGATTTCAAAAAAATTAGTAATGACCAGACGTCCAATTTCAGAAAGATTGGGTATAGGATAAAGTGTGTTGGGAATGAAATCTATCTGCTGACGATCAAGCAGCCGAGTTATAGTATGACCCAGGGATAGAGACCCAAAGTCTGCATTAAAATTTAAATTACCTTGACAAATGAAACTGTATACGACTGTGTGAAGATCGTGGGGTGTAAAAAAGGCGAGAGTGAGGTCATTTCGGAGAATTCGCCTAAGAGTTCGATTGAGAAATGAATGCTGAAACTGTATTTATCAGAGCGAAGCGTGGATCCGTAGCGCGTTAATAGCGTTCGAATGATTTTCAATAAGGGAAACGGTAGATTCGAGAAATTTTTAAGTCATCTATAGTTGTGCAGTTAACTGAATCTAAGTACGATTTCCTTTTAGAAACCTGAAGTCTGCAAAGTATTGGAAGGAGAGAACCAGAGAGTAACCGCTCCATAATCTAAACTAACAATGGCTTGAATAATACATTAGTTCGTTGAAAGGTTACATTGCAATGTGCAGTCTTTTCGGCGACCAAAAATGAAAGAAAATGACATATAAACCCGTTGGCAAAAGTCTTTGATCTCTCTAAAATATTGTCGTTTTCACATTAATTGAATTATCAATTCAGCTATTCCTTTTTAGTATGAAATCTAGTTGCTCTTTATTCACTTGGTTCCAACATTAAATGTATTTTGATACTAGTGACCTACCATAATACGGTCAAATTAACTGATGCAATTCTTGATTGTTTTTAGTTCATTTCTAAGGGTTGAAAATTGCTTAAATGTGTTTGACTAGTTTTCATATCCTCAATTCGAGGAATGTTATAGACCATTCGCTGTTGCTGAATCAAAGCCAGGTGCAAAATAGGAGTGCATTTTAAATATTAGAACACGTGGAATGCAATTAAGCAATATTCACACCTTAGAAATGAGCTAAAGACAATCAAGAATTGCATCAATTAGCTCGGGTGTATTATGGTACATCACTTGTACTGAAATAATTACATTTAATGTTGAAATCAAATGAATAGAGAGCAACTAGATTTCATACTAAAAATGAATTAATTAATTGATAATTCAGTTAACGTGAAAACGACAATATACTAGAGGAGAGAAAAGATTTTTGCCCATGGAAATATTAGTAGTCATAGGAAAAGTAGCTGAGTTGTGAATGATCGTTTTAGATTGAGTGTAAGGACCCACATAATTGAGAAAAAGACCGGATTCAGGATGGGCAATCGTAGTATTTATGGAAAGAATATTCTCGAAAAGATGTTGGATAAAGTAAGCAATAAGATCAATACAGTGAAATAACCCATTGTTTAGAGATTGAATGTGATTCTTACTAAGCGCTCGGTATTACGGTTTAACCTCCTGTTATTGTGTGAGTTGAGTGTGTATGTCCTAATTTTGGTTACATTCGTCGTACTAGTGCGCAATATAGTGCATGATGCTGCAATGAAGGCAGGCGTATGAATAAATGACTCGTTGTGGACAAGTTAAAGAAAAAGAGAGAGACAGATATTTTGTGTTTTTTTCTTCCGCTTTTGAGTAATTTTTATCTGACGAATAGATTATATGATGATGATGATGGATAGCATGTGTGGGAGAGAATGACGTGTAAAATTCGTAATAAAGATAAAATGAATCGTTGAATTTTTGACAGATAGCTATTTAACAGACAAGTAATAAATTGATAGATGATAAAAATGTGTACGAGAACGGAAACAAGTTGATAAGTTAGAACATATAAAATTTGCAATGCGATCGATTTTCCATTAATTGGAATGAAGGTTATTTTTTTCTCAACATGTATGAAAGTAGATGGAAATCAATAATTTGCATTGTTTAGAGAAGAATATAAAGAAATTTAAAGAGAATTATATTGTTCAGGGTATTGGTGTGGGTCGACTCTTCACCCCACATTCACATCCACCGTCGATATTATTTGTTGGATGTTTGAATCTTTGATGAGAGCGTATCTAAGCAAGGACAGCTTCTGCTGTTGTGGCATAATCTCTTATACATCTACGGTAGTAACTCGTTAAACCTAAGAAAGATTGAACGTCTTTGAATTTTGTAGGCTGAGGAAAGCATCTTACGGAGTCAACTAGACCAGGATCGAGTTTAATACCGTTAGGTGTGCTAATATGTTCTAGGTATTTTAACTTCTTTCGATACAAATCGTAATTTGAAGCTTTCAGCAGAAGCAATTTGATCAGCCTGAAGCATCTCCTCTAGTTGTTGATCTACTCTATAGGTGTCTTAGATGGAGGAAGACGATATGGTTGGGAGTTTGATGGTTTCGTTCTCGATTGAAGTTCGGCTACATACTTAGTAAGATGAGTTCGGTCCGGTTGCTCTGTGAAAAGCGGTGAGTATGGACTAATGAGTGTAACAAGTTTAGTTTTTTGAACATCAGTTAAATTAGAAAGGAACAAATCGAATAATATCTTCTCTTCTCCTGAATGTGATGAGAGGTATGAGCTAGCTGTGATAAAGTATTCAGCTGATATTCATACAGTAGTTCCATAACGACAAGTTTCTGTTGAGAATGAATGTCCACAGGATAATGAGAAAAGTTTGTGATTTCAATAAAGAGTGTTTTCTTAGGTGAAATGAGACCATTCGCTACAAGAGGAATTTTGTCCATTGAGGAGACGAAATAAGCCTGATTCTCAGAGAATTCGAAGAATGGTTGCCTGGGTTGAGCAGGGGTAATCACAGAGTGATAAGGAGGTAGATGATGCCCGTCAATAGCGACTAAAGAGTAGGAGGATGAATTTGAAAGAGTAGACAGAATGGTAGCGTTGTGTTTGGGAGATGACGATTGATATGCGGATAAATTAGCTTTGATTGACTCTTTCGGGAAGAGAATTAGATCGTATTTATCACCGACATGGACATTATGATTTCGCAAAAAGTCGATATCAATGATGTACAAGTGTTGCAAATGAGGAAGAATGTAAACTAGATGTATGAACAACTTATTGTAGACAGAGATACGCAGCTAAAAGATATCATGTATGCGTATACATTGTGTATTTTGCAAAAATCATTTTTGACGATCAACTCTTTCTTATCATCTACTTCACACTATTCGATCAAGTTTTTTCATTGTCCACCTACGCAATTTCAAACTATTTTTCCATGAATACAAACCATACATTACTCAGTTACACTTGGTTTTTCCTTTCTATTGAATGCTAATCTCTATCTAAAGAATGTTAACAATGTGAATGAATAATACTAAAATATCATTTTTCCAAGTTATACTATAAATTAATAAAGTTTCATCGGAACATTTCGGAGGATTGATTCTTCCGACAGCTTCGACTGATGAAGAATAATCTGAAAACAAATGAACGAGAAATCAAAGAAATGAATTACAACAATTAAAGATGTAGAAATAACAAATGATGTTTCTTCATAATCCTTAAATATAAACATTGCAGTTACTCTTCGTTTGACTGATAGCATAAACACTATCTATTTTGCTTTATTGACGTCAATCTTTCACACAATGATGTGTTTGCAGCCCTTATCATCTGTGCTATGTATATATAAACTGAAGCAGTTGTCTCTTATCATGATAAGTAACAAACATGAAGCCTCTTGCAATTCTACTGGTATTCATCATTGTTTCTATTTGTTTTGGTGATATCACAATCTATCGTGGTACTGTATGTGGCTGGGCTGAATACACAACATCTAGTCCCATTTTATGCAACGGGTCAGATCCACGTCATGGATGTCCTTCAGGCTATTCTCGTCAAATGTTCAAAGATGGTGGTGCGTATTGTTACAAAACCAATACAACTACCAGTAAACAAAATGGAATACTCGGAACTTTATGTGGTGGTCTAGCACGTGCTCGATGTGGTGGACTCAGTCCGATTAACGTGTGTCCTCAAGGATACACACAAGATTTTCGTTATATATGTTATAAGAACGATCCAACAATCGCAGATTTATCGGGTACGGTCTGTGGTGTGATTAATGAAGGCAAAGGACAAACGTGTGATAGACTATCAGTAGGAACATGTCCAGAAGGATATTATGGAATTGATTTTAAACAAGAAAACTGGCATGCCTGTTTCAAACAATAGATAGTTCATATTGACATGCTCCATTTATTTTTGCTAAATAAGGAATAATACTTCGAACAGTTGTTTTTTTTGAAACTTAAAAACATTCGTCAACTTTATTAACATTTTTCATGAATTTGAGTTTTTTTATTAATGATTCTTTTCTGTTGACTTCCAGTTTATTCGTCCGATGATTGTGCGCATGAACTTGCTCTAATGTTTGGATACTGGCTATCGATACATTTTTCTAATATACATTCTCTAGTAACATGTCTGACTATAGATCTTAATATTTGGTCATATATTCCCACACCGAGGGTGTGGGTATGGGTGGTGGCATACAGAAGACTCATACACACCCACACTTCGCATCAATTATAAAAAAAAATGCTAAGACTATCGCATTTGGATTAAAAAAGAGTCACATAATACTGTAGCATTGATATTGAATCAGTATTAGCGTAATACAAACGTTGAAGATATCCAATAACAAAACAGCTGTGTTGACATTTGCGAATCATGAGGATTTGGAGGGGTGGGGGGGGGGGGGGGGGGGGGGGGGGGGGGGCGGTTCGGTTAAGTTAAGAAAATTTTGTCTTTACATTTTTTTTTTGATAATTTTTAAGTTTATTTAATCGTATTACATTTAATTATATGTCTAACCTCCAAAAGAATAAATCGGCATGTTTTTCCTTAGAATAACAATTCAAAAGTTTATTTCTAGTTTAAAATAACAATTCAAAAGTTTATTTCTAGTTTAAAATAAAAGATTACAATAATGTATAAAATTGATTATGATGATAAACGTAAATGTTCATCAATAAAAACAATTGTGTTAACAAAACAGTCACTATCATTAGATACTTCTCTAATTGTATGATTACTATCATAAACATATAATTTTGTTGAAATCTTATTTGCTTTCAAACATTCATAATAACGAAGACCCATATTAAATGGTACGCGTCTATCTTTCTTGCCTAATTGTAATAAAACTGGTATTTTTATTTGACCAATAAGACGAATTGGTGATCTTTCAATAAGATATGTAATTAATGATGTATCTGAACAACAATTACGTCCTGTTTCAAAATCAAATTGTGTATTGGTCGATTGAGCTAAAGCTCGATCAGGTATATCTGATATCGAACAAAAATGAAGAAGATCAGTAACTGCATTTTTTAACACAGCCATTGCATATTCATCTGGATATTTTCCAATAAGACGACCAATAATTACACCTGCATGTGATTCATCTATAAGTATAACTTGTCGACTTGATTCCGTATATTTAAGACAACGATGAATAGCTTCATGACAATCTTGAACATCAATTTTTGATATATTACCCAATAATTTATCGATTGAAGCTACAATAATAAGAATGAAATATTTAATGTTAATTTAATTTTCATTTTATTTACCTTGTCCATAACCAATTGAACCTCGATAATTGACAAAAAGAATACCAAAACCTAATGGGACATATGCAATAACATCAACAATATATTTCACTAAAATTATATATTAATCATAAATTTATAATAGAAAGAAATAATTAATAACTCACGAGAAACACTTGTATTCGGTCCACCATGTATCCATACCATCAATGGTCGTTTTGATTGAATATCGTGCTTATAAACATAAAGTGATTCAACAGAAATTAATTCATTATCAGGAAAAAACCGATCAAGTTTCCATTGAATTTAATATTTTTCTTGTTTTTTAAATTCATGTTCAACAATTAAATATCAACCATTATTATCTTTATCTGTGTTATTCAAAGTTTTTAAATCAAATACATATAATTGATAAGGTGTACGAAAACCAACAATATTTACTACAACATAATGACCAAAAATAGCAAGACCATTAACAGATGTATTAACACCCAATGGTGAATCAAGAAAAATAAGTTTTTGTTCAATAAAATCATAAATGTATAAAACATTACATGAACCAGATAGAGAACAAAGAAGAAGATAACGTCCATCAGAAGAATAACATCGAAATAGAAGAGGTATATAAATACCTTTAAATTGAGTATCATATTCAGCTGTAAATAGTGCAGCAGTTGGATTTAAATATTCAACATTACAAGAAAAAACTACATTTTCAAATATTCATTCTATTTTTTTTATGTAATTCACTTATCTGCTCGACTTATTAGAATTTTTTCTTGTCTTGTTTGAGTATCAAAAAGTATTAAACGTTTACATTGTCTATGTGCTCGATAAATATCCGATTGAAGATAAACAAATTGATTATCATCATTTGGTAAATGTCTTGAAAATAATCGACATAATTGATCAAATTCAGTTAATTGTATCCATTGATTATTACGCCAATTACATTTACATAAAGATGTTGATCGATTTTCACAAGAAATTAAACCAATTCGATAAGGTTCAAGACAAAATGCAACAAAAATGAGTTCATCTGGATTTGTTGTTCATGTACATTGACCAAAATATAAAGATTTTGGTTGATTTTCAATTAATTTAATTTGTTTTGTATCAAGATAAAATATGCATACAACAGATGTTTCGAATATTTCCATTTGTTCACCCCAATTTTCTCGATAAATACTAACAGGCTCTCCAATTTCATGAAGTTTATCAGCTGTAAAATAAGATTTTAATGATTTATGTTTTTCTTCTGCTGTAAAAACTAATCGACGAGAATCAGGACTCCATTCAAAAAAACTTGCATAATCATTTTTAGGTAAAATTTTTCCATGTGATGAGATTCTATTGTCATTAATTTCATAACCAAATATTAAATGTTCATCATGCCAAATTTGTATATATTGTAATTCTTGTTCATCTTTTGTTTATTCTGTTACTAAAGCAAGATATTTACCATCAGGTGAAGCAAGACGACGAACAATATTTTTATTAATTGGTGTAACAGTACTTGTAAATAACAGTTGACGGGTTTTTAAAAAATAAGTAAATGAACGAGTATATATTAAATCTTCTAATTTAACAAGATCATTTATGGAAAATAATTTCATCATTAGAATCTTGAAAATATGGTTCAATATCAGACAATGTTGGTTAACTAGCATAATGACGATATGTTTCAATTATTGATGTTAAGATTTTATTTTCTATTGTCGACATTTTTAGTTTGAAAAGCTGTTAATTTAGAGAAAACAAAAAAATAGCGGCGACACACTCATTCACCAAGTCACTGTTGTTGTTCTATTGTTATACGATGTCATCCGTAATAAAGAAAATTCATTTTCGCGTGGATATAAGAGATAGAACGAAAGAAAACGAATCTCTCTACTATGGATAACATCATGCAACAAGAGAGTGTGGGTGTTGGTGTGGGTGTGGATTTAGAGAATACCTACACCCACACCCACACACCCCACTTCACTCACACTCTTTATGCACAACCGCACCGACATCCACATGCCACACCCACGCCTACACGCCCACCCTATGTTTCCATTTTTTCGGTAATATTATATTTGTACGCTTTGAAACAAATTACTACATTCAAATATTGTTCATATGTGAGGTCTTTCACTTATGTCATTTAGTATCGGTGATATCAATATGAGAGCTAACTGAAGATCTATCAGAGAAAAAAAACGAAAAAAAACTTTGCTACCTTCCTTTTGGAACATCCTGTATTATCAAATCTACAACAATCTAAACGCATCGAACACTAATTCTCGGCAAAAACATACGAACAATAGCGGACATTTCAATCGTACTTATTCATACACTGAAAAAAAAGGTGCCACATGGAACTCCAACATGGTTCCGAATTTTACAACAAAATTGAAATTTTGTAGGGCATCGTGCAGATTTCTCTTTCTTCATTTTGCAGATAAATGGCTCCGCAGTATGATTTTCCCACTAGAATCAATATCCTAATAATGCGCTCATGCACTACGAAACAATAAGATGTCATATCGAACCTTTTTTTTTCGGAAATCAAAACTTTAAAAAGGTTCCGTAAAAAAACCTGAGAAGCCTCAGGATGATTGTGAGTAGTCGAAAAAGCATTTTTAAAGCTTTTCTAATTTTGCCTAGAAAACCTTAAGTGGTTCAGATTTTGTCTAAAAAATCGGAACTTTTCTAGGTTTCGTAACATACTCAAAAACTTTTCTAGGTTTCGCAAAATGCTCGAAAACTATTTTAGGTTTCGTAGCAATCATGAAACCCTCAAATAGTTCAGTATCATGCCATTTTTTTTTCAGTGCAGTAGAATATATCATGCCCCGCCCTTTTTTTTCAATAACTAAGCTCTCCTGACCATTGAAAAAAAAGACATGAAATCATGAAACATACTTCTTCTAATTGTAGATCATAATTTATGACCTACGATCAAGAATTCACTGCATCTCACTGCCCAATGCATCGACAACACACATACAAACTATTGTGAGCTAGTTAGTTCAAAGCAACATCGAAATACCTACGGTATTGTAGTAGCTATACACAGCCAAAGCCACATCTACACCTTCACATACACACTTTGACACAACATTCAGATCCATAGTTACTCAATTCTTTAACACAGAAAATTCACTATTCCTGCTATGAAGTTAGAATTTCGTGATGAAATCCTTTCGCAATGTCGAAGTTCATTTAAGTTTGGTTAGCACACTCATAACCCCAATTCAATAAAATTCTCTCTATTTTTGTCGATGCAGGAACAAGAATGGAACATTGAGATTCCTAGAAACGCTCAGTTGAAAACGTATTCTGTTTAACGTTCCATATATTCCTGTCCCATGGAAATTGCGTGCCATCTCAAGATATAACAAGATGAAATGAATCCTACCTCACATCACCGAAAAATCTGGTCAGAGATGAGGGTAACAGATACGAACATAAGTTCATTTATCTACAACTTGATTCTCAGTTCACACGATTAATCGTTTCTTATCAAAGAAAAGCAAAAAAAAATCGAGAATTCATCCTCACAATTGATAACATAATGTTATGATATAAAAATTGAAAAAGAAGTCCTGTTCAAGTACAGTAGCTAGTGCAGATAAGTTGCCCATTAATGTTTTGAAGTCCGCAACCATTACCAAAACCTGCTGTAAGTGTTACTGACGTACTGATTGCCGCACCTGAAAACGGGTAGCATAAACAAGAATACATGCAACCATTACTTGCAGTTGTACATGAGTAACAAGAGCCACTATACGATGATCCAGAACACAGATGACAGCCAGGGGCTAAACAGAAACACTTATTTATCATTAAAAATATTCTTTGTACGCTTGATCTTATTTATTTGAAAGTTTACGTGGTATAGAAACTTTAAATATGTTCAAGCTTCGAACTATATGTGTAGGCCTTCGAGAATGTTGTATTTTGTGTCGCTTTGACTATCTTT